TGGCAGACCTCTCCTGACCCGCCCGCTGCTCCCCTCAGCAGTGTACTTCGTCGATCTGCCTGTTCTGCTCCCCACTCTTGTTTCTGGTGAATCCTCTCACCCTCTGCGTCTCTGGCCTGTACCCCAGTTCTGTATGCACAAATAAATAAATCTTTAAAAAAAAAAAGTGAGGTGGAGGCAAAGAATATGTGAAATTCTCTGAACAGGTTCAGTTTGAACATTCCTCAGATCAAGAGTTGAAATTCTAAATTGGCCCTGGTTCATGCAGGGTCTTTAAAATAAATTTGTTTCTTATTCTTTTTTTTTTTCTATTTTCTAGACTGCAAAAGCTTTCCCCCTCTTTAGCAATTTTTCACTTTTGATATTTTTTGTTCCCTGTGCTTCGATTTCATGTTGTTGACACTGGTTTTGCTTATATGGCAAAATAGTCTTCATTGCCTAAGCTTAGGGCTGGAATGTTTTGATTTGAATACTCCCGTCATATGTGTCACTCTAACGTTTCCATGTTCTGCGAATACCTAATATATTTTTACATTTAAGTAGTTCATTTACTTACAGTACTAGCAGGACCTATGGGAAACATCCAGTGTGTTACCTCCGTCAGTCACAGTGGCACTTTGGTTGACAAAGTTGAGATTTAGCCACACCCCCGTGGATGGATTTCTAGTGAGTTTCATGGGTGTGCCCTAGATTGAAGTCAGCTCCCAGCTTTGACCTGTAGGGGCCTCGGAGGTGTTTTCTGCTTCTCATGCCCTTTCAGTTTTCTTCCCACCTCCATTTTTTTGACTTGTGAGCTCTGGTCAGATCTCCTGTTGCCCAGGTGCCCCTGACCTAAGCCCTGAAGAAGTATCTCCTGCTTGATGGGTCAACCATGGTTTCTAGCTACTGCCAGCACCCCAGGGGCTAAGGCCAGTCACTGGCCTGAGGGAAACCATCCCTCTAGTGGGTTTCTCCAATAACTTCTGAATGCTAGTCCCGAGGAGGGAGCTCCTCTTTCAAAGTGTCTCCTCTTGGTCATCTCCTTTACTATAGGTATACTTGAGATTTTTCTTTGCCACCTTACATTTGTTCTCACTAGAACTAATCATTTAAACTGGCCTCATTCAAATCACTCTGTAGATCTTGACTGGGGCAAACATGAATAAGAAACTTGGGTTTTAGTATGTTCTATTGTCTTCTTCAGGGTCACAGAAATTTAATACGTGGAAACATTTATATACTTAGAAGATGATTGCTGACTTTTCCCCTTGGGTGTTCTCCAAGTGGGCATGTACCTCCCTAGCCCGTTTTCCTGCTTTCAGGTGTTGTTGTCATCCTGCCAGTTCCAGAGCATCTACCTTAGCCTTTGACGATTGTTTCCTTCTTTAAATTGCTGTATTTGAACTGCTCTGGTGGTGCAGGGGTTAAGGTTGCTGCACTAAGGAACTATCCCCAGCCACTGCAGCCTGAGTTGGATCCACAGCCAGGATCTGACCCACATGGTGCAGTAGACCTCTCTGCCTGTTCTGCTTCCCACTCTGTTTCTGGTGAAGCCTCTCACCCCTGCCCCCCACACCTCTGGCCTGTACCCCAGCTCTTATATGCATACATATAAATATTTTAAAAAGAAATTGCTGCACTATTATTGTACATATTCATCAAATGACCCTTGACATATTTTAGTTTTGCTTTCTTTTCTGCAGAACATAAAATATGTCAAAGATGTTGCTTTTCACTGCTAGAGCATTTTCATGAAATAACTTAGAAATTTCTCCACGTACATCTTTGATAGTGATCTGTATTCTGTGTGCCCAAATAAGAGGCGTTCCTTTTCCTACTTAACAGTGCTTTCCATTTCGTCACTGGAATGAAGCATCCATGAGTATGAATGACTGTTAAGGAGAAGAGAGTAACTTTCACTATCTCAGTGCTTGCTCAGGGACCAAGTAGATTAAGGCAAACATTTTAAAGCTAGCCTTTGCTAGCTAAACTCTTATTATTTGCTCTTAATCTCAAGGGCCTGTTTTGTTCACTGCTGGGGGTTCTGGAAGCTGAATGTAGAACTATTTTTAAGCACATGTTAGAGCACAGACCATCTCTAGGCATGGACTGAGGTGGCCTCCAGAACCTGTGTAATTTACTTGGGTGGTTGAGGCCACTTACAGCTTAGGTTTTTATCTCTGTCTTTCATTTCTGGCTGGCCTGCTCTTTCTCTGTGACCTCGGCCTGCGGTTATCAGATGTGGGAGCTGAGCGCAGTGTCTACTGTTGTCTCTAGGACACTCGATTAGGTTGGGATATGATTTGCATAAAGCTAGTAACTCCAGCAAACAGATTTATGAGTATTGGTTAAAAGAGAAATGATTATTTTTTAATTGAAACAGAATGCATTTTATTCCCATAAACAGTTAAGCAGTATTTGGGTAAAGTTAGCCCTTTCCATGTGTAATCGTCTGGGGTAGTTTTATTTCTGAGTATGATATTGTGGCCAGTGGGAATTTGTAGCTAAGCCATTGTTTTAACATGGAAGCATTGTGTTGATATGACATGTGTATTTTGGGGGAGACGTAGTCAGCAAAAAAGAGCTTTTTTTTTATTGATTGCCTACTCTGCTGTGCTGGGCCTGGGTCTGAGTACTGCCATGTACACTACTCTCCTGCATGTCTAAAAAAGTCTCTTCTTTTGAAGATAATTGTAGATTCATCTGTTGCATAGAGATCCTGTGTACCCTTTCTCACACTCTCCAGGGATAACATCTTTATACCTGGAGTAGAGAATCACCACTGGGAAATCGTCATGGATACCTTGTTGAACTTATTTGGATTTCACCAGTTTTACAGGCTCTCCTTTGTACGTCCCTCTCTGTGTATTGTGTAGTTTATTCTATTCAATTTTACAACATGTTTAGGCCACCATTTCTTTTTTAGCACTGGTAGGCAGAAGGCTCAGATAAGCGTTGGTCTGGGATTAAGTCTAAGCTTGTTTGAGCCAATTTTTTGCCTTTTCAGTAATAATGGTGGGGGATGACATTGAATGGAACTCACTGAGTTACCTAGGAAACACTTTGATTACTTTTCAGTGATTGTTCTAGTGTTTTAGCTCACTTAATGTTCCTCATAGCTGTGCGACCTAAATTATATCACATTTGAAATTACTACCATTAATTAAAACAATAGTATTACCAAGAAGTCGGTAGTTATTATTACTACTCCTGAAGTCAATATTAAGTAGTAACATTTCTTGTTCTTTTTCTGTCTTTTCCTGTTTTGAAACTCTTTAACCACTGATTTTGGCAGTTGTGATTGCTTTCACTGTGTGTGTGTGTGTGTGTGTGTGTATGTTCAGAGATGTATAAAGCGAGATCTGAATTATTACAGACTTAAACATTGAGCTGGGTTGAGATACCTTAAAATATTTTTACTAAGCTGTAAATTAAAGCTGGTTTGGGCAGGGTGTCAGATTTTTGAGGAATAAATGTAAGCCACCAAGAACACTTGAGCATGTCATTGGAAGAGGCCCCTCCCGCCCCACCTCCCAGAATAGTTTGGATCTTTTGGCCAGACATAGCTCCAGGAATGTTTGAATTTTTCTTTTTTTTAAAGATTTATTTATTTGTGCATACAGAACTGGGGCACAGGCCAGAGACTCAGGGGTGGTGAAAGACTTCACCAGAGACAGAGTGGGGAGCAGAACAGGCAGATCGACGAAGTACACTGCTGAAGGGAGCAGTGGGCGGGTCAGGAGAGGTCTGCCAGCCATGCGGTCACCTCTGGGGCAGGCGGGAATCGAACTCATGCGGAAGTGGTTTCAGCTTGCTTTACCCCGCCGCGCTACCAGGGAGGGCCCAGGAATGTTTGAATTTAATCAAACCTCTCAAGGTCCCCTCTGATTTTCAAAGCTTAACGTAACACCTTTTTGGGTTTGTTATCACTGATGATTAGACTGTTATGATACTCAGGAAGATAATATTCTGATCAGTAGTCTGATTTACTGTGTGATTCTTTGCTAGTTAAATTTCTTGTAAATCTGTCTCTGTGATGAACAGCAGCACTTATTCAGACCAGAAATAACAGCAGTCTCATGTGTTGTAGATCCCAGGAGGTCTTGGTGTTTTTGTAGACAGCAGACAGAAATAAAAGGAATTTTGTCCTTTTTACCTCATGTAATCCCACTGGAAAATGAAACATGTGCACTGAGTTGATACTGACTTCTGCCAGGTTACCTCCCTGAAGAGTCTTGGGCAAGTGCAGTTGCAACATTTCTTGGACAGGAGTCTGACACCCCCAAGGAGATGGATGGCTCTCAAGGCTCATGTCCCGGGACACTTGCTCGCTGCTGTCTGCCCGGCACGTGGGCGTGAGCTTCGCCACCGCCACCTGCATCTGCCGCCAAGACTCTTCCAGATATCACCCACCCCAGATTAGAGTCAGATGAAGACGAAGTTCTATCTGATCTGTTGTTATTGTTCTTGACATTGGTGACGTGCCTGCAGCCTTGAGTGCCACTTACTCTGTCTTACTTCTGGAACTTGACATTGGACATTAGATAATGCAAATGGTTTCGAAGCGCTATAATTTTAGGAACTATTTGGAAGCCGCAAAACCTTCTTAATGGCCCACTCTATCAATTTTCTGTTCTTCTTAGGAAGTTTTTCCTATTCATGACTCATTTCACTCACTGGCTAACATTGAGGGAAATGTAATAACGATTAAGGAAAGGAATGTATGCATTTTCTTCTTTTTTTGAAAGCTTGTACACATTTTCTGTCTTGGGTTATGTAAACTTGGATGATTGTAGAATGTTGACAACTGTGAAAGGTAAAACTGGCCTGTTAATACATACTTTGTTGGAATTTAAAAATCATAAAGTTTCCTTTGCTTCCTTGGAGAAGTGCTTTGCTTGATGGCCCAGAGTACAGATCCAGTAAAAACGACATGTTCCAGCCGTCCTTTACACACACCTTAAGCGAAATTAATGAGATCACTCTAAGATTACGCTTTGTGTTTTATTTTCATTTTATAGGTCTGTATGAGCTGTTGGCTGCTCTGCCAGCCCAGCTGCAGCCACATGTGGACAGCCAGGAAGACCTGACCTTCCTCTGGGATATGTTTGGTGAAAAAAGCCTGCATTCACTAGTCAAGGTAAACCATGCTGATGTCAGATTCTTTTTGCGGAAAAGCATATGGAAAAATGTTTTGAGCGCCATCTAGTAAACCAGAGATCAAATTGTTGCTCTTTGAAAACAAAACAGCCTTGTTCCATTTCACTGATGGGCGTGGAGGTTGTTAAAGATCCTACCAAAAATACATCGATGATTTCACTTACTGGTAGCAATCTGGTTTTGCATACTAATGCAGCAAACACGAACTCGCCCTTGTTTAGAAAAAGAATCCGAAATAGTCATAGGGAGGTTTAGACTCCTTTATGGTCAACATTCGTGGGCTGGAATTTAACTTAAATAAATAAATGTTCACAGCAAAAATTAGAAGGAATATATTTTCTGAGGTTAAGGATGGCAGCGGTTCAGTAGCCACATTAATTTAAAATAATTTCCTTTAACAAAGTCAACTGAAACTTTAGCGAGCCTTTTCACCCCCTTTGGCACAACGCCATGGAAATGGTATTTTGTGTATAAATATTCTGAAGTTAAACACGAATAAAAACCATTTTGGAGACAGTTGCCGTACAGCATCATGCCATGAAAACGATCAGCCACCAGAAATTAGATCTCGCCACACAGCAACCCTGGAAGTGATCAAAACTCTTAAAATAGTAAAATGAGAACAAGAAACTTACTGGAAAATATGCCACTCTTGCCTCTGGAAATATGAATTATATTTTTTCATTTAACTCAAGCTGAAAGAAATTTAAGTTTTAACTGGAGTCTGCTGGAGATAGAAACCTGCAATGCCTCCACAGTAGACAGATCCAGCCTTAACTCAGCTAATCCGTGAGTTGTCTAAGGTGATAGGTTTTAGTTGCTGTGTAGTCTTGGAGAATGAGACGCAGTGAGTGCTTCACAGGGTGGGATTCTTAGCACTTTTTTTTTTCTTGTCAAATTTGCTGAGATCTGCCTGGAAATTCTCAAGACCTGGGAATGTAGACCAGTGACTTTTCTAGCAATATCGTTAAAGGCTGAGATGTTATGTTTGCTTATTTAGTTTTAGATAGCCAAGATATCTTTGTGCTCTGAATAATTTTAGATGCTTTCGTGGATGTGTTAGAAATAGTTTGGAGATTATAATGGATGAAATTTATGAGTTGTTGAGGCAGCCATAAAAACATTCCTGTGTGGGATGTATAGAAGTAGGATAGCTATGGATTTGTTCAGATTGATTTGTTCTTTTGATAAGAGCAATAAAAGATATTTCAAGGGGCAAATGTCTCTAACCATTAAATAAACATGCCCCCCAAACAGTGATGCTCTGTGTGTTGATATTTATAATGTAGTTATCATCCTGTTTCCTTACTTATAAAATGAAAATTACCTTGTTGGCTAAATTACTTTTGAGCTTCAAATAAAAGAGTGAAGATCTTAGTTTGCTGATAATTATATTGGTTAGGCATGTATAAACACATTATTAAGCATCAAAGAAACAAGGAAAAAGTTTATTATTGTGGCATGTGAAGATGTAAAAAAATAATAACAGAATCAGTTATTTCTACTAAAAAGAATAAAATTGTGTGAAAAAATTTTTAGTTACACTGGCTTTTCAGTTTTAAACACATGTTGTTTTTCAAAGTATTTTCCAGTTAGAAATGGTTAGAAAGCACATGGAGGGTATTGATACCTGGTTTCCATAAAAACAGTGAAGAGAATAAACTGAGGTTACCGGTATTTAAATAACATACACAATAATGAGTATCATTCCAAATGTTTTTTACTAATTGCTATCAAGGGACTTTTTAAAAACTTGTTTTTTACTTACAGTCCATTTTCAATTTCTTCTTCATTTCCCACACTCCAAACTTTTATCACATGCAGACCTCCAGCATGTCCCTTGACCAAGCCAGTAGTTTTCAAGTATGCAAAGCCTGAAACGCTCCCAGAGGCTGGCTCATGGCATTGTCGTTTTAAACAGTGGAACAAACCACTGAACTGCATGCCAACAGCCTCTGGTTCTGGGTGGAGGGTGGAAGCTTTCGGCTTGTGTACATAAATCTTAGTAGAGCAAAAGGAATTTGTTTGAAAAGATCTTTCCAAGAGTGACTCGAAATGTACTTTGATGTCATGCTCTTTTACCTGCTGTTGACACTATTGGTAGGTGATTTCAAAGCTGGTGAACTTAAGCTCCATTTTAGTCTAGCACAAAATTTCCATAGTTGTCTTTTTACTTGGTGTAAAAAAATGATATTAAATTACTGATCAGTTTTAGATACATGTAACTTGATGGCCTAATATAAAATAAACTTAATAAGAGACGATTTGGACATTGCAGTTCTGTGGCAGGCGTGGCCACTGTGGGGTTTCCGGCCACACTCTGGCAGTAGTACTATGGAATGTGAGCTTGTCACTGGGAAGGAAATAGGATGTTCCTTTAAATTGTTAGCAGCAGATATTTAAGAGTTTCCCCCCCAGGAATATTACTTGTTTTAATTATATATTTTAAAAAGAGAGAACATTGGTTTACAGCACTCTGTATGTTTTAGGAGTGTTGCTTTACATTTCTTCAGTGCTCATCCCCACAACATTAAGTACATTTTTAAAATGGTATCTTTGGGGTTTTCTCTGCATAAGGATATATCATTTACAGAGTTCTATTTCCTTTCCAGTTTGGATTACTCTTACCTTTCTCTTGCCTAGTTGCTCTAGCTAGGACTTCCAGTGGCAGTGGTGGTGAAACCAGACATCCTTGTCTTATACCTAAGCTTAGAGGGAAAACCTTCAGTCTATGATGTTAGAAATGGCCTGTGCTATGTTGAAGTGTGTTTCATCTACCGCATTTTGGGGGAATTTTTTAAAAAAAATGTAAGTGAATATTGAATCCTGTCAAATGCTTTCTCTTCATCTATTGGTAAAATCACATGCTTTTTTTCTTTTACTTTGGTGATGTGGTGAATTACATTCATTGATTTTTGGATGTTGAACCATCCCTGTACTTCTGGAATAAATGCCACTTGGTCGTGATATATGATTCTTCAACACATCGCTGAATTTGTTTTGCTAAGATTTTATTGAGGATTTTTTGCTTGTATGTTTACATGGGAAATTGGCCTGTAGTTTTCTTTCTTGTGATGTCTTTGTTATCAGGGTAATGTTGGCTTCATAAAATGTGCTTGGAAGCATTTTCTCTTTCTCAATTTTGGGGAAGAATTTGAGACAGCTGGGTATTTTGTCTTTGAATGGGCTTGTCGTTGAATGCTTGGTGGAACTGATCAGCGAAACCATCTTGTTCTGGGCTTTTGATTTGGGGGGGTGGGGGGAGACTTTTGATAACTCAGCTTCCTCGCTTAAAATAGGTCTGTTTAGGTTTTCTGTTTCTTCCTCTCTGACTTAGAAGGTTGTATAGTTCTAATAATTTTTCTTTTAGGTTGTTTACATTTGATACACTTATAGTGATCTCTTATAATATTCTGTTTAGGGTTGTAGTGTCATGTTGCTGTCACAGAATGAGTTCAGAAGTATAATTTCTGCTTTTTTTTTTTTTTTTAAAGAGTGATTCTTTTTAAAATAACATGGAACAATTAAATACTTAGGAATAAACCTGAGAAAGGAGGTAAAAGGTCTATCAAAGAAAACTGTAGGTTTTTTTTTTTTTAAAGATTTATTTATTTATTTATTTATTGTGCATACAGAACTGGGGTGCAGGTCAGAGGTGCAGGGGTGATGAGAGGATTCACCAGAGACAGAACAGGGAACAGAACAGGCAGGTCATTAAGTCCACTGCTGAGGGGAGCAGTGGGCCAGACAGGAGAGGTCCACTGAGCCATGGGGCTACCTTCTGCTCAGGGGATCGAACTTGCTTCTCGCTGAAGCATCTAGCTTCACAGTGCTGCCCCTTATCAATCCGTTGCAGCACCAGGGAGGGCCCGAAAGCTGTAGGAGTTTGTTAAATGAAATAGGAGAAGACAAAAAGAAATGGAAAGATATTTCCTGATCATGGATTGGAAGACTCAACATTGTCAAAATGGCCATCCTACCCAAAGCAATATGCAGATTCAATGTAATTACAATGAAAATATTAATGGCATTCATCGAAAGAACTGGAACAAACACTCATATGGTTCATATGGAACCACAAACGACTCTAAATAGCCAAAACAATCCTGACTAAAGAAAAAGGAGAGAGACATAATGATAGTATTAAATTCCCAGACTTAAAACGACAGGATTCTGGCTCCAGCTGCTTCTGCTTCCTTTAACTTGATCTCAGGTGTGATTGTGGGTTCCATCTCTCTGGATTGCAGGGTGGCCATTTGTGCTGTGCCTTCCTTCTCTTGACATACCCGTGGGCTTTCTTTGGATCCCCTGTGACCTCTCTGTGCTCCTGTGCTGTGGGGTTTGGAAGAAGCCCGGCAAGGGCCCACATCGTGAGGCAGCCGGGGGCACCTTGGTGCGGCTGGCTGATTGTGTGGCCATGGCTGAGGTGGTCTGGGAGTAGCTCAGAAATAACATTAAGTACCTGCTCGGGAAGCTCTCCCTGTACAGGTGGCCAACATGTCCCCTCCTGCTCCCCATAAAAACTGATTACCTGGCCCTCCCTGGCGGCGCAGCGGGTTAAAGCACAGCACTGAGAATCTGAAGCCACTTCCGCATGAGTTCGATTCCCGCCTGCCCCGGAGGTGACCACATGGCGCGGCAGACCTCTCCTGACCCGCCCGCTGCTCCCCTCAGCAGTGTACTTTGTAGATCTGCCTGTTCTGCTCTCCACTCTGTCTCTGGTGAAGCCTCTCACTGCCCCTGAGCCTCTGGCCTGTACCCCAGTTCTGTATGCACAAATAAATAAATAAATTAAAAAAAAAAAACAAACAAACAACTGATTACCCTTGGTCTCCCCGGACCCTATTCCTCCAACTCATTGTCACATGATCAGTCAGGCTAGTAAATAGCACAAGGCCGCTCACTGAGCAGCAGGTTCTGACCTTACACTCCTGCTCCACAACTCGTCTTTCAGTGTATCTGACTCAACATATGTCAAAG